CCCTCGATCCTATCATGCAAGCATTCATCCACTGAGACTTTCTAGACGTAGCCGGCCCCTGGGCGGTTCTACCTGAATGTGCGCGCATCTCTCCGCATAAAAGGAGACCTTGCCTCCTTACTGTCATCCCTTTCTCTTCAGCAAGGCAGTGAGATACAACTGAGTGAAGAGAGACGGATAAGAATATAAGACAACGAAGAAAATGGACTCACCATTGGAGCACCCCTGTCCTTCGTGTCGGGGCTCAATAGAGGGCGACGACCCCCACTGTCGGTGCATCGCGTGTTCCGACCACGCCATTAACGGCGGGGAGAGGGACGACGATGACGACACCTCGTCGTCTGGGATTTCCGGCGACCGCCAGGAAGGCCAAAAGCATAGGTCTGCGCGACAGGACTTACCGCCGGTGATGACTATGGCGGCGGAGCGTGCAGGCTTGCCGCTCCCCCCACCGCTGCCACCGAGGCCGGTGAGCCGCCTGCGTCAGGGCTTCTACGGCCCGGCCCGTCCAGCACAATCGGCCTTCGTTTCACTTTCAGAACAGACATCTGGCGGTGTGTGGAGGCCACGTGGTGGCAGCCACTGAGAACGAAGGCTTCGGTGACTACTTGGGTTGGAATCCTCAGAGTGGAGGCCACTCGGACACAGGTGTGATTACTGCAGCCGGTCGTGTGATGTCCCTGGCCACCGTGGCGTCGCGTAACGTGTGGCTAGGTCTGACCGCACTGGCCAAGAAAGAACGAGACGATCTCCTTGGGGCCCCCGTTGCCACGGAAGGGCTCTTCGGATCGATATCCTCGTTCACCCAGCGCTTCAGTCGCCTGGAGGGAGAGAGGGCGCAGCTCAGCCGCATGCTTCCGCTGGCTCGCCCCCTCAGGTCTCTCCGCAAGGGAGAGAGCGCCCGGCGGTGGTAAGGCGGAGAGAGAGGCGCCGGTACAGAGCCCCTAGAGATCCTGACGCGCCCTCTGCCTCCGCGGTCCATCCCGAGGTACCGGCCCAGTACCGGCCCTCACTAGGACGGACTGACCGAACCCGGCAGGCTCCCGCTCTGTCTCCGGCCCCGCCGCAGCGAAGGGGTACCGGGTGGGGAGCTCCGTCAACCAGGAGTTGACTGGCGGCGGGAGGAAGCGTCCCAGCGGAGAGAGGTGATTCTTACGTCAAGGACGCGAGGGCGAATCCCGCCTCCTCCCTTTTTAAAAAAAAATCCGGTCAGAAACAGTCAGATGGAACAGTGTTGTTGTGGGAAGACAGCGTGTGTATACATCGGGGCTGTGATATAAACACAGGCGGGGCCCTCTACTCAGGGGCCCTGTCTGTCCTATGCTGCTTGCTGAAGAGAAGTAAAGGATGACAGTAAGGAGGCAAGGCCTCATTTTATGCGGTGAGATGCACGCGCATTCAGGTAGGCCCGCACCGGGGCCGGTTACGTCAAAAAGTCTCAATGGATGAATGCTTGCATGATAGGATCGAGGGGGAGTACCCATAGAGTCCAGTAGAGGGCTCCACCTGTGTTTATATAACAAGGGTTACCATACGTAACCCCTCGTTTTCTCCAGCATTCAAAAATCCAATGGAAAAAATCCCATTTATTTTACTTCACCCGACAATAGTTCGTCATCACATCCTTGATAAAGCAGGCAATAGCACCCAAAAGCTTAAAGACAAAACTGGAAATGAAACAAAAAATGTTTATGTCACATAATGTTAATAGATGCAACATATACTCTGTCATGTTTTTTATTACTGGACCAAATTTGAACGGAAAAAGAGAAATTGTTTCATACCACTCCCAGTGTACAAATGAATTCTCCCAGGAAGTCATGTTCATAGAGCTGTGTGGCACACTTGTCCTCATCGAACAAGGCAAAGCGAAGCTTCTGGATCTCCTCAAAGTGGTAGTCCACTTGAAACTTCATCCCGAACACTGGGTTCAGGTTGTTCACAGCTGTCTCAGTGCGGCCGAGCTTAAAGACAAGAAACAAGAGAAAAGGACATAAACAACATGTCCTTATATAACATTCAATTGGACTTATATATTATATTTCTATGCCACCTGAGTTGAGAATGAACTAACTTTAGCCTCTAACTGCTTTGGACTGTATTGCGTTTAAAGTTTTTCTTGATTTAGATTCTCAAAGAGCAGCAATTAAAAAAACTACATTCAATGTACCCACTGAAGCTGATGGGAATATAACCCAAAAGTATTTAAAAAATGGAAATATTGACCTGATGTACAGAGTATGACCAAAGTTATTACGATGCATCCCGAGGACAATCCAACAATTGTTGAGAACAGCGCTTAATATGTGGCTCTTTGGCTGCTGCCTTCGTGAGGTAATTGCTAACTTTGTCTGTATGCTGGGAGGTTGATGAAAACAGGACTTGGTGAAAGCTCACACTGACCCAAATATTGAAAGGTAAAAAAAACATTGCCAAAAGACTCCGTCAAGTTGCAGTTGACTGAATATAATTTCAGCACTGTGAGTGACCCCTTTACAATAGAGTCATGTGATTGTTAAAATAATAATAATATAATCAAATATTAGAGATTGGGTTGTACCATTTATTGTCCTACTTTTTCCCAGGTGGATCCAGCTTTGTGGTATAACAAATAATGAATTGTGGTTCCCTAAAAAATAGCCCGTCCAGTACACTGATAGATTAGAGAGTGTGTGAG